GTGGGTGTGTGGGTGGGAGGGAGGGGGGGTGGCTTGGAAATCTTTAGGAACTCCTGCCCAACACAACTGTACAACTAAATAAATTTGAAAGAGATGATGTTGTTGCACAAATTTTTTCACAACAAGTTCAGATTTCTGGCGAGAAGACCTTCTTCAACTCATGCAAACAAACAGAAAACTCTCTCAAACGATCTGAGACACTTTACAGACTCCTTCGGGAATTCTGTTCACCAGCTGGTAACGATAGTTTAAAATAGTTCATGGCTCTTTAAAGAGTACAGTYGAGCTTGTTTTGGCCTTTTTATTCTGTATTGGGAAACTGGAACAGTGAAAGGAATAATGTGAGAATGTACCCTAAATGATTCCTTTGGCTTCATCWTTGTAATTGAATGTTGATTACAGCRTTCCTGCTGAATTGATCTGACCTCGTCCTGGCAATTAACAATTCCTRTACATGAAAATCAGAGAGGCCCTGTGTTAATGTCACTGACAAATCTTGTTACACGCAGTCCCTGTTGGGCCAACAGATTAGATGGGATAGTTGTGTGGTAATTACAGGATACGTAGTAAATTGGACATGCTGCATTTATTTTCTGCTTTTGACCACGGGGGCAGAACCWGATTCACAAAAGCTCATTTTGCTCACATGTTTCAGCTCCTAAAGAATAAGTGAAATGTTTGCAAATCAGTCCTTCTTATACTATTTTTTGTCTTTAGTCTCAAATTTACAAGTCATTTATCTTTGTTTAGCATTCCTCACATTGAGGCTGTCAGTTATTGTCTGCAGCTATGAAAGGTGGGCGATGATGTAATCGCTTGTCTCTAAGTTTGTGGGAACGTGAGTCTGTCTTTTAGCAAAATATCTCACGAACCAGTTGACAAATTTTAAAAACACGTTTCAAAATGAATCTTTGGATGCACATTTAGAACTCATTGTTTGGAGTTAACTCGACTCAAGATAGCTAATCAAACTTACAAGTCATAAAAAAGACAAAAATTGTATCGTTTTTATACATTTTGAGCTACAGTTTTGTCTGGTAGTAGCTGAGAATCATCCCAAAACCAGACTTTAAACATTAGCAGATCTCTTAAAAGGGCCAAATCATGCAAAATCCACTTAAATACATTTTTTGTGTACTTGGRTCATAGTTTTCAACCCGTTCAGTTTTCTCTATTGTCWATGATGTTTTCTGAAATACTTCATCAGAGAATTTGCAACAGAACTTCGAAATAAGGTCGGGACAGACCAAATACAGTTTGGTGGTCTTCATTCTCCTCTGGTTCTGGGTCAGACTCTGGCTCCAACATGTAAGGCTGGATGGACAAGTCTTCTCTTGTTGACGTCTTTKAATTAGTTTGWAAATAAAAAGTTTCTACACTGCTATATAGTCATAAACCCTTCTATTAAACTGAAATGGACCAGTTTAAAGAGGGGTGGGGTGTGAAGTGCCTTGTTTGGATTTAAAGACACAGCCTCAAAATGAGTTAATCAGAGACACCACAGAAAAGGGTTGAAAGAGGGGCTTGTGGAGTTACAATAAGGAGGAATTCAGACCAAAGAATTGCAGTTCCACTTTATATAGACCCCAACTGAATGATTTAAATGTGAAAATGATGGATTTWAAAGCAGTATATGTCTCTTTAAAGTCTGATGTTTTCATTTTATTGGACTTTGGCCATAAAGTTTTGATTAAAATGTATTGAAAACCTCCCAGAGTTTGTTCTACTGCCATAATAAAATTAATAAAGTAATAAAAGAGTTTAGCTTCATCTTTCTGTTGGTTTTTAAAATGCACTGATTGGAATCTTAGACCAACATCGATGCTTTGGTTTAAATAACAATTTATCAAATAATTTCTTGCCGACACTGATTAATTTTGTTATTTGTTTTCTTTTCAATGCAAAGTGAAATCTTGAAACCTGACATGTAAAAAAGAAAATATCATTTAAGTGGTAAAGTCTTGCAGCTGTATTCTGCTGCAGCATATGTTCCTCTGGTTTCAAAAAAAAACTAAAGAGGAGCCAAAAAGAGGCTCAGATATTTCAGTTGTTTTTTTGTTTTTTTTTTTGATTAACCAAAATGTTCCAGTTCATTTTATTTTTTCATGGAGGTAAGGATGTCATAGTGCAAAAAAAAAAAGTAAAGTTAAAAGACAGAGTTTGATTGAATATTATTTTGTCTGTTTAGTAACACACCAGACATTTTCGTTATTAAAAATATAAAAAYGAGACAAAAGAAAAATCTAAAGCACACTACACTGTGGGATCTTTCTTTGAGTCTGACACCAGCAGCAACAACAGTCTACGCGWATAGCGGTGCGCGTCTTCTCTTTCCAGCATGCATATAATCTGAGCCATTCTAGTTGTGCTTTATTGACATCTTTATATCTTCTCCTCTCCAGGGCCCTCCAGGATCTCAGCCCTCCCCTCACACACAGCCTCCCCCACACAACCCCAGCAATCCCATGATGGGCCCTCATGGACAGGTAAGACAGAAACATTTACTTTCCTCCCGCCTTCCTCGCGCTCGCACACACACACACACAAACAGCACGTGACTCCTTTGTTGGGCTACCGGGCAGGACGGGCAGCATCCAGGATGAATAATTTAGCTGTGCTGGCCTGGCTGGAAGGAGAGGAGATGCATCTGGAGGGCCTCCTTTCTCCCTCAGCCCAGCACTCACTAGCCCCATAGTCCATCAATAGACCATTAATATTGCAGCACAGCCTGACTCTGTGCAGCTCTCCACGCACAAACCCACCACAATGTGGTTGAAGGAGGAAGGAGCTCGGGAGGAGGAAGTGGGGGAGGAGGAAGTGGTGAAGTGAAGGGAAAGAAAACAGTAGTAAGTCCGTCTTTGCCTCTAGCATTAAGTGTAATTACATAAGCTGTCCTCGGCTTGGCCCAAACAAACACACCGATACAGAAAACACACAGTGTACAATTACCTCTCCTGTGGTATTACTGTGTCAAAATGAAACCAACCCATTACAGAGTTCCCTGACTGAAACACACCGCTCTCATCCAATCAGCATTTCTGTTTCTATTAAAACACTTGGATTGAATTCAGAACTCGTTCTTATCACCTGACACTGAAATGTGACTCTCTGGGCTATTTGCAGTTTTTTTTTCAGCAGTGTATTCTCTGAGGTAATTCTGCAAACCATCTGTCTGTGATGCTTTACATTATTCACTAGTTGTGTGCTGGCTCTGCATGCGTGTCCTGGCCAGCCTGTTCTTGTCCCCACGCTGCAGAAACACACAAGTTTCTGTATACAGGCAGAATCGTTCTGTTCTCAGATGGAAGGAAGGTGTTCTCTAGATGTGTATGACACAAAAAAAAGAACATTGCAGAACGTTTTGTGTTTTTATCATGTTACATCCTTTGCGTCTCCTTTTCTTTCCTGCTGCTCTCTGTAACTTTCCCTAGACCGTCCTCTTTTACCTTTATCCTAATGGCTTTTACCACCCGAGGTCTTACTTTCCAAGATGCAATGACAAGCCCCTTATTCTTAGAAATGTGACAAAAGTACAGCAGTAATTTATTCTGCAACACAATAGCCCCCCCTGCTGGCCACTAAGAGTAATGCTCTAAGAGAGCCTGCTTAATTTTTCTCTTAAAACAATGATGTTCATTTTGATATTTTAGAGAAATAAAAACATCAGAACATCAGAGAAAATAATGTTTTTTTTTCAGTTGGAGAGACAACTCTTTAAAACATCAAACAGCAAAATGAGATTTGACTGTGTTGATTAATAACAGGTGTTACACTTCTGTCTTTTCACCTCAAATTTTAATCTACAGTAAAATGTATGGTTACAAATTCATTACAAACACATGAAGCTTTTCTATTTTTAAAGTTTGTATTGAAGTTTGTCTGGTATTAAGGTTAGTAGATTTTTATAAACACACCTTTTATTTGTCTCATATGTGGTCAGGTCTTACATCCCTTATTACTCTACTGACATAAAGCCTCAAGAAGTAATAATA